TGATGAGGACGTAGTTTTAACCTACTAGTTCTTTTATCCTTGTAAAGATTGTCAGAATACAGCCTATAATACCTCTACATGGGCGAGGAGTGGGACTAAATATCAGCTCTGGAAATGTCATTTCCTGGATAGGCCTACTTCCCAAACACATGTCTATAGCCAAACGTGTTTGCCCTAATATCTGCTTAGATCACAATAAACATTTTGAGGTTCTTAATAAAACTTTCTGGGCACACGTGAGAAATGATAAAACAAATAATTGACTAATTTACAGAACACTTAAGTTGAGATTAATTCCTATCATTTTCTTTATAATGCTGCACCCCTAAAAACCCCTGAATATGTATTTTTTTCATATAAAGCCCACCACAGAACTTTGAAAGACAGAGGGAGAAACATTTGATTTTCTTCAGACTTTTGGTTAAAATAACTGAACTTGCCCCCATTTTATTCTTATTGTCATATATTATTTAGCAACACTGTCTTCTGGCTACATGAACTTGCTGAGGCAAAATGATGCAATGTGCTCATCTTCTGACTGATCGATGTGTGTGCTACTTTTAAACTGGCTTGATAGGTACGACTCAATACATTATATTTCACAGCACGGAATGATTAGATCTTTTTCACGTCATCACTGCATGGACACTTCCCTGTAACTAACTGTATTTTAGGTAAGGTTTCTTTTTGTTGTCTCTCCCTCATCATTAACAGCCTGGTGCTGCTCATTATATTTTTCTCCTACTTAGTATGAGAGAATTAGGGCTCTCCTGTTAATACACAACAGCAAAAAGGCTCTGGGCAAATTTTAGATTTTTAACCCACTATTTTTTGAAGTTTCTTTTCTTTTTTTTCCCTCAATCTCCCTTCTTCCTTTATTGTTCACTAATAATTTGAATATAAATTGTTTACTCTTTGATTTAGTTTTAGTGTTTCATGCTCAAAACAATGACTGGCAGGTGAAGGGATGCGTAATTTATAGGTCAACGCTGCGATTTGCTTCGGGACTAATTCACATAACTGTTGACAGACTCAGCATTTATCAGCCCTCTGCTTAATAAGTCATAGAGCTTGTATTTGTAAGTTAATCATCCACTCATTCTTAGTCCACAGTTGGATTTTGTTGTCAAGTCAGATTTATAAGCTAACTACCAGTAATCTGACTTCAATGTGCTTCCACCTGTGCCTGTGTGCATATTATTCAGTGACACCGTCTTCTGCCTACACGAACTCGTACGTGGCATTAGAACAACTGACCGCAGCTGAGCAAACTCAAACTCTGCTCTGACGCGCAAACATGTTCTCCATTGAAAGCCTCCCGCCCCAAAGGAGGATTTAACATAAAATTAAGATAATTATGTACAACAGCAGCATAAACTCAAAAAATGGCAAGAGAAGCATCATCATTAGCAACTTTTATCCATAGCAGCATTTACATTATGCTGACAAGACCAACAGCACTAAAACGGCAATGTTCAGAACTGATTATCAGAACAACTGACCGCAGCTGAGCAGAAGAAAACAGCAGAGAAGAGCAGAGCAGCATGGTCACTGTAACTTATAAAACACGCTGAGGAACAGAAGCTGTAGCTTACCGGCTATCTGTAAAATCGCGTGTATAATCATGCCAGTTGGGGAATGGTCTAAGCTTCCCCTCAACTTCCGTGTTTGCCATTATCAGCTTCATCAACATAGCAACGTAAAATATTCCGGATGAGGCGAAATCCAGAGCAGCCAAATATATTATATTTGGCTATGCTGATTGGCCAAATGTTTGTAATTTAATTTAGACGAATATAAAGTTCACTAGCAACCACACACCATTGGCTATTTAGCTTAACTTCTGCAGAAGAGAAATGATAGTCCGTCGGGAGAAATTCACTGTGGTGTAAATGTTGTGTATACACAACATTTACACAAATTACAATTTTTAAACAACGCTTACAGATCCTTTTTTTCCCCTCTCTCGCATCTGTTCGGGCGGCGAGTCATGGACTAGCCACCACTGCTCAAGGACCGGAAGCGAGGACTCCAGCCATAGCATACCGGTGTGATTGATTCACGCTTTTGTTGTTTTAAAGCTGCTTTTAACTTCTTTACACAAACATTATACTGACTTATTTTCATATTTAAAAATGTTTTACGAATGAATAAACAGGATGTCCTAAACTTCGATATCCGCTGAACTTGAACCGGAAGTTGTCTGTCTTGCCCACAGTGGCGGATGTTGATGCAGAATTACGTTTCTGTAAAGGCATGAGTTAAAAAGGCAAACCCATGTTTTCAAGGAACATGTTGGACATATCGAGATGAAAAAAAAAATATTTTTTTTTTAGCGACCGGCTTTTATTTTGATATTCTATTTCCACTTACATGTAAGCCAATTTGCATTTTAGCTCAATATTTAGCAACCTAAATATGTTATTAGCAAATTAAATGTTTGGTTTGGAAAATAAATATTTAATTTGGGACTAAATATTAACCTTAGACTTAAACATTTAGTTGGGAACTAAATATGAAGATTGGGTTAAAGAAGCATTGCAGCAGTCTGTCTGCTATGCTGAACTGGGTGAGGGAAATGGCTGCAAAGTAGAAAGGTGAAGTTCAGACAGACATTTAGAAGACAATATTTTCTTTTAATTATCTCAGTGTGTCATGTCAATTTTGATAGATAATTTGATCACAAAATTAGCCTTATAATTATTTTTTGGTCAAATTATAATTAATGTCACTGTTTTAAAGCTCCACTCATTTTTGTCAATCATGCTACTTTTCTCCCTTCTTCTCCCATTTTTGTTTTGTATTGAATCTATTTTACCTTTTCACTCAAGACTAAAGCCTAAATGAAGACTGATCAACTCTATGTGGAAAAAATACAGCCTAAACAGCATACAAGCACAGCTGCACTGATCTGCTGAGCCAGCCAACCACAGAGACAAAGACACTGGTGCAAGCAGGCACACCCTCACTGAAAGGGACATGCCATATCAAAATATGTTTAGAAGTAACTGTATAGTAATCTCAATCATACTGTATCCATTTTACTGTTTTATGGCATTAATTATTAATTCAGAAATACCTATTTTTAATCCACCCACTTATTATTATTCAACCAAACTACGACAGCAGCAGCTAAGAACTGGTTTGGGGTATGCAACCACCTCATAGTCAATCTGATAATGTCAGTGCATAAGATTCAAGCTATGTATTTTTATTCATTCACATATTTCCTTGCCATCTCCTGTTCAGGCACAGCTTAGCAGTCCTGCTGCACTTGAACACAAATAATGCCTCATACAGTCATACAGTTTTTCGTTTCACACACATGCAGACACAGAGGTGCATTAAAAATGCATAAAAGCACACGGCCAATTACTGCTGTTAAGCAGACATTGAAAAGGGGCAGAAGAACTGCTGAGAAGGTCTGTTCAAGCTCTCTGCTTTGTGAAACCTTGGTTCACTCTGAATCTGAACTAATCCTTTGTTTTCTTCTATGTGCACTCCAGTACAAAGCCATATGTCACATGCTCATCGTTAGTTTAAAATGTCACTTTTAATAGCAGGCAAAATAAATGTCACAAAATATATACTGTTCTGTCAGTAGCATTCAATAAAATCAAAGATTGACCTAATTTTTGGAGAAAATAGATTACGTCCATGTAATGCAATAACTAATTAGAAGCTTATCTATTCCTGCCTTCATAATAGATGTAGAATCTGGACCATCTGCTGCCTGTTTTGCAATGGCAGTTTTATAAAATATCTTTATTTATTTTCTTTGCTGTGTATTTATGAAATATTGTCTCTTGTAAATAGATATATTGCATATTTCCCCTCCCCCTACTCAGCGGCTCTCCCTGCATCTCCCTCCCTCATTCATCCTCTTCCGCTGCTGTTGCTAAGACCGAGGAGTGCAGGCTAGTCTGTGGAAACCAGTAGAGTCTAAGAGGTGGATCTCCCAGTGTGTTGCTATGGGCAACGCTCAGTGTTCATAAGGCAAGCAGCCTGAAAATCTAGTATTTACACAAGTGACCTAGTTTTTAATTAGTCAAAAGGGATTGTATATTCTGAACTTCATGTTTGGTGTCCTTAAAAATACGTTTACATGCATCTCTGTGACTTCTTTGTATTTTATTTCAACAGAATAATAAATAAAATATGGCATTAGAATGTATCACTTCCTTTTTAGTCATGCACCATTATAAGACCCATGTTAAGGCGTAGTAAGCCTACACCACCTGACTGCCTGCACATTGTGATTCACTGCACACGCGCCTCAGGCTCGCTTTGACCTCCTCTGTGTCTCAGCCATTCATTGCACATTGAATCCATGAGACTGCATCAGAAATCCCAGACTTCCAGTGCTTGTCTTAGGCAGTCTAAGCCTTCTTATCCCAAGATGTATAGAAAAAGTGATAAAAGATATAAAAAAATATAAAAAATAAACAGTGATCTTCATTTAAATGTAAAGATAAAATGTGATAGAGTCCTGTGTCCTATAATCAATAGAACTGTGTTTTTCTATTATTTTAGAGGTGAAGATTAAAGGAAAACTAAGAAAATATATGGTTGATAAAACACAAAGACTTAAAAACTGTTTGCATTCAACATACAGTCAAAATAAAACTGGTATTTTGTTTGTTGTTTTTAAATAGGTGTACCACTGAGGAAAAACACAAGCAACAACACATCAGTATAAAATATGCAACTAGTAAAAAAAAAATCTTTCCTCAAATGACAGTAAAAGTAAAACTTTAAGCAATAAGGACGCACAGGCCAAAGCAGATGTCCGTAAAGCATCACCACTTTGAAACAATGAGACACAGTCATTAATCTACATATAAACAATGTATACCACAGTTACTTTATCAACACGAGGCCTTCTTGCTCCTCTAAGTGTTGAATATTTCTATCCAATTATTCTGTTTTAATAGGTTAAGTCTGTTAAATTAACACATATTTCAAGATTAATCTAGTTTTCAATAATAATTAATTCTTACCTCTTCTGTTCTCCTCCTGTCAGGTAGCACTAGTGTGTTTGCATGACTTCCAGGTACTATAGTAGATCCAATACTCATTCTGGGTCCAACTAACATGTAGCGTTTATCTCCAGATCTGTACTGGATGCTGTGACACAGTGTCCCATCATAATTAGTCTCTTGGAGATATTTAGAAGTATAGTCTGTGGATTTGGAGCACTGCATTGCAATCAGCACGATGATACTGATGATAAACAGAACTGAAACTGCGCCCAGAGTGATCATCAGGTAAAATGTCACATGATCATCGTCATCAGCCTTTGCTGCACTTTTAACATCAGAAGCCGCAAAAGCCTCTTTTGGCTCCACGAGTTTGACAATCACAGTAGCTGTTGCTGAGAGTGAAACGTTGCCATTATCCTTCACCAGTATGACCAGTTTATGCTCAGCCTCATCTGTCTCTGTGAATGACCGAAGTGTTCTGATCTGTCCTGTGTAGCGGTCCAAACCAAAGAGACTGTGGTCAGAAACTTCCTGCAGTGAAAACAGCAACCAGCCATTATATCCTATATTAGCGTCATAGGCTCTGACTTTAGTCACCAAGTGTCCTGCGTTCACGTTGCGTGGAATTTCCTCCACAACGTCAGCAGAACCATTGGAGCTGAGTGGATACAGGATGACTGGAGCGTTGTCGTTCTGATCCAGAATGAACACGTTCACTGTGACGTTGCTGCTGAGTGACGGAGTCCCAGAATCAGTGGCGAAAGCTTGGAACTGGAAAGTTTTTAGAGTCTCAAAGTCGAAACTTTTCAATGCCACAATGGTTCCAGTTTCAGAGTTTATGTTGAGAAAGGTTGTTGCTGTTTTATGTGCAGCACCACTTCTTGGTATAGTATATGACACGTGAGCATTGTCCCCCTCATCATAATCAAAAGCATCCAGGGAAAATAAAGAGGCTCCAGCAACATTGTTCTCAGTCACATAAAAATTATATGGACTTGTTGAAAATTCTGGGCTGTTGTCATTTACATCTGATACTGTGACACTTATTGTCTTCTGGGCTGACAAAGCTGGTTCACCAGCATCTTTTGCTATTATTGTTACTTCATATTTTGACTTATGTTCCCTGTCGAGTAGAGATTTGGTAACAATAGAAAACATGTTTTCTTGCAAGGAAGGTGTTAATGTGAATGGTACATCATCAATTATGGAACATATGACCTTCCCATTTACACCTGAATCCTTATCACTCACACTTATCAGTGCAACTGTTCTTCCGGGTTTGGAGTCTTCAGGTATTGCACTTGATAAGGATGTCACTTCTATTTCAGGTACATTATCATTTAAGTCTACAACAGCTATGATGACACTTTTTTCTGTTGACAGTGGGGCTAGTCCTTTATCAGAAGCTTTGATGTCAATTTCATATCTATCCTTTGCTTCATAATCTAAGAGTCCTTTGACAGTAATGGCTCCTGTAATGGCATCAATTTCAAACAGTTTACGCAATTTATTGTTTACATTATTCCCAAAAGAATACACTACCTCTCCATTTAGACCCTCATCTTTATCAGTGGCATTTACTTGTATGACTGTTGTCCCTACAGGTGAATTTTCATTAAGCTCCACAGTATATGACTCTCTGGTAAATACAGGCATGTTGTCATTTACATCTAAAACATTAATAACAATTCCCATTGTTCCTGATCTAGGTGGCTTTCCTCCATCAACAGCTGTGAGCAGTAACCTATGACTTCTGGCAGCTTCTCTGTCCAGTGGTTTATGCAGAAACAAAACAGGAATTTTACCGTCTTGCCCTCTATCTTTAATCTCCAAACGAAAATGATCATTTTGACTAAGCTTATACTGCTGGACAGAGAACAAGCCGCTGTCTGGATCCCGTGCATCTTGCAGTTGAAACCGAGCCCCGGATAGAGCAGATTCCGATATTTCTAAATGCGTCTCGTTTTCTGGAAAGGTGGGGGAATGATCGTTCACGTCTAATACCTCGATGGTGACATAATGTACCTCTAAGGGATTCTCCAGAACTGTCTTAATGTTGACAATACAGCTAGCAGTCTGGTCGCACACCTCCTCTCGGTCTATTTTTCGGCTGATGTGAAGGACTCCGTTGTCACTGAGCTGGAAAAGTGAATCCTTTGATCCAGAGACGATGCGAAATCCTCTGTCAATTAAAACACTTGGCTCCAATCCCAAATCTTTCGCAATGTTTCCAACAGCAGCGCCCGTTGTCAGTTCTTCTGGTAGTGAGTATCGCAGCTGCGCCGAAGTGAAATTAAAAGTGAAATCCAGAGAAACAATGAAAATGAGCAGGTGCTCCAGCGCTGCATTGCATCTTCGTGCCATCGCGAATTTTAGAATGGGCTAATAAAAATCATTTGAAGACACTCAAAAACATAAATAAAAATAAAAACGAGTAATGTATATATTTAGAGAACCAAAATAATAGTGATCAAGGAATTGATGATGGCGGATCAGTGATCGTTTCCATAATGCACAATCCGAAGCTCTGGCAAAAGCTCCAAAATATGGACCATCCACTGAGTGTTGAAATTTCACAAGCAGCGCCCCCAAGCGAGCAAGTGTTATAATCCTGATATATTTCTTTTTTTTTTTTTTTGTTCATTTCCAGTCGTTAAACACGCGAAACTTGTAATGATAATGCAGAATAAAAAGAGACAAGGTAAATTTCAAAATAATTCACTAATGTATTCAATGTCTATCCAACAATCCAACGTAAACTTGGTTATAAAGCAATATTTACAACTAGGTGTAACAATAGTTTTATTTTTGTACAACTTTATTCAACGTCAGATGTTCTAATAGCATTAGTTTGTTTGCATGACTTCCAGATGCTATTGTAGATCCCATATTACCTTTAAGAAACATATTTATTTTTTCCAGATCTGCAGTGGAGGTTTTGACACAGTGTCACAGTAATGTTAACCCCTTACAGATGTTTTGAAGAACCATCTTGTAGATTTGGAGCACCACATTGCAACTCAATGAATCCTACTGCAAAAATTCCACTACTTCTTATTAAAAAAAACTTCTGCAAAACAGTCTTGCTGTCTAACATTTTTACCCATTCAAATTGTGTTCTATCAGAGAGAAGCAACGAGTGCACCTGGTTTTAACATCATGGGCATCAAAAGGGTACACTTCAGAATTTTCAGAGATTATCCATATCACAATTAACAGGCAGAAAAAAAACATATTAAAAGATTAGAATAGTATGCTGTCTATAAAATCAATGAGGTGATCTGTTATGCCTGAAAGCTCAAAAATGAATGCTTAACTTCTTGCACAGTTGAAAACTCAGTAATGGTACAAAACCTTGATGTACAAAGGAAAAGGCCTAAGCCAAAAAGCACAGAAAATTTTTTTTTTTCGTCATCACCACAACAACAACAAAAATATGGAGAGTAAGGAAAATATTGTTGACTTTACTGAAAACTAAGCTGAAATAAAGCAGCATGAGGAGAATGGATCACATGGCATCATTTTTGTCTTGTGTGTGGTTACCACAATATCAGCAACCTGTGCTGGTCATATAAACATGCTCCCGTACCACTTCCACCTTGATATATTACTTAATTTATTTTAAACCAATTTAAAATCAAACATTAATGACATCATAAAAGTCTCTTCAGACAATGTCTATATGGCCTGTAAATGGGATGTACTGCTACTGCATTTTATCTAATGCAGAATACAACAAAATGCTTTAAACTACATTCAGTCAATTCACCCCTACAGGTACACATTTGCATGTTGATGCTGCCGAGCTACAACATTGTTGCCACAGCTGCCCTGCACTGGCACAACTGTGCCCTGTAACCACAACTGCAATGTAATCTTACCTCTTCAGATGTTCTTCTCCTGTCAGGTAGCACCAGTGTATTTGCATGACTTCCAGGCACTATAGTAGATCCAATACTCATTCTGGGTCCAACTAACATGTAGCGTTTGTCTCCAGATCTGTACTGGATGCTGTGACACAGTGTCCCATCATAATTAGTCTCTTGGAGAAATTTAGAAGTATAGTCTGTGGATTTGGAGCACTGCATTGCAATCAGTACGATGATACTGATGACAAACAAAACAGAAACGGCTCCCAGAGTGATCATCAGGTAAAAAGTCACATGATTATCCTCGTCATCCTGTGGTGCTGCACTTCTAACATCAGAAGCTGCAAAAGCCTCTTTTGGCTCCACTAATTTGACAATCACAGTAGCTGTTGCTGAAAGTGAAACGTTGCCATTATCCTTCACCAGTATGACCAGTTTATGCTCAGCCTCGTCTGTCTCTGTGAATGAGCGAAGTGTTCTGATCTGTCCTGTGTAGCGGTCCAAACCAAACAGACTGTGGTCAGAAACTTCCTGCAGTGAAAACAGCAACCAGCCATTATATCCTATATCAGCGTCATAGGCTCTGACTTTAGTCACCAAGTGTCCTGCGTTCACGTTGCGTGGAATCTCCTCCACACCTTCAGCAGAACCATTGGAGCTGAGTGGATACAGGATGACTGGAGCGTTGTCGTTCTGATCCAGAATGAACACGTTCACTGTGACGTTGCTGCTGAGTGACGGAGTCCCAGAATCCTTTGCGACAACTTGGAAATGGAAAGTTTTCAGAGCTTCAAAGTCTAAGGTTTTCATCGCCATAATGTCTCCAGTTTCTGAGTTAACATTAATAAAGGAAACTGTACTATCTCGCCCTGCATCTCTTAAAATTTCGTAGGACACTATTGAATTAGTATTTTCATCACTGTCAAAAGCGTTTACAGAAAACAAATAAGCTCCTGGATTATTCCCTTCAGTTACATAAAAATTGTATGGGCTCATTGAGAACTCTGGATAGTTGTCATTTACGTCTGACACCACAACACTTATTGCCTTTTCACACGAACGTGGTGGTTGACCCGCATCCTTTGATGTTATTATTACGATGTAATGTGACTGTTTCTCTCTGTCAAGGGGTGATTTGGTTACCAGTGAATACATTTTGTCTTGTAAAGATGGCGATAAAATAAAAGGGATATCATCATTCAGTGTGCTGATAGTCTTTCCATTGAGACCCGAGTCTAAGTCGTTTACACTGATCAGAGCGACTGTGGTTCCTAGTGGGGAATTTTCAGGGATCGACCTGGAAAATGAAGTAATCTCAATCTCTGGTGCGTGATCGTTCATATCTATTATTTTAATAGTTATACTTTTTTGAGCTGAAAGAGGAGGGAGACCTTTATCTGATGCCTCAATTTCAAGTTGATATTTATCCCTTTCCTCATAATCTATTAAACCTTTAACAGTTATCTCACCTGTTGACGGATTAATTTCAAAAAGCTTAAAGAATTTACGATTTACACTGTTGCTAAAAGTATACACTACGTCCCCGTTCCTTTCGCTGTCTAAATCTGTCGCATTTATCTTAATCACTGTTGTGCCAAGTGGACAGTTTTCCTCAAGCGTTACCGAATAAACATCTTTGGAAAAGACCGGCGCGTTGTCATTTGCATCCAAAACATTTACTACAATATCAGATTCGCTAGATTTTGGAGGTTTACCTCCGTCCAGAGCAGTAAGTACCAAAGTATGCCTTGCTGATATTTCTCTATCTAATGACTTTTGAACAATCAAAACGGGAATTTTGCCGTCGTCTCCTGTATCTTTAACTTCTAAACGAAAGTAGTCATTAGAGCTTAGTTTATAACGCTGGATAGAGAATATACCCGCATCTGGATCGCGGGCAGGCTGCAATGGAATACGCACTCCAGGCAACACTGACTCATAAATTTCCACCACCGTTTCATTTTCTGGGAAAGTGGGAGAATTGTCATTAATATCCAACACCTCGACACCAACGTAGTGGACCTCCAATGGATTTTCCAGGACAGTTTTTAGATTTATTTCACACGTAATGGTATGTTCACAAACCTCTTCTCTGTCTATTTTTCGGCTCAAATAAAGGATGCCATCGTTCGGATCAAGATGAAAGAGGTGATCAACCGTGCTGGTGACAATGCGATAATTTCTGTCTTTTAGCGTGGCTTGATCCAACCCAAGGTCGTTCGCTATGTTTCCGATCACAGTTCCCTCCTTGACCTCCTCAGAAATGGAATATCTCATTTGCGCAGAGGTAACACTGAAGAAAAGCAAAGCGGTCGCGCACGCGATCAGACGCTGCCTCATCCATTCTGCGTGGAATCCTCTTTGTTCCATAATGAAAAATCAAAACAACATAAATCAAACAATAACCATCCATATAAGAAATAATCTTGTCCACAGAAATTAATGCACAAAATCCAGGTTCCAAAATGTCCACACTCCCTCAAATATGTAATATATACAAAGACAGCACAGCGATTACATCCAGTGGTAAGTGCGATGGGAAGGTAAAAGGGGTGGAACTACAAAGCAGTGACGAAAGATGTAGCAGTTATTACACAAGCGCACTGACACCAAGCGATCCAGCGGCTAACTACAATAACCGCACGTTTAAAACATTTTACAGATTATAGAGATATTTATTTTTTTATTTATTTACGTTAACAACAACAATAATATTAATAACTGCTAGATCTTAAGACTTACAATGACTCATTTTTTTAACAATCTAGTGATAATTGAACATTTTTTTAATGCACGGGCATAAGCGCAAAATCTGTCAGCACCATGGAGAGCGATAAAAAAAATACTTTGCCGTAGAGGTGCGACACAGTGTCATTATAGGTAATCTCCTGAAAATATGCAAAACTGCACTTTAGAAAGTTTTTGTCACCACCTAAAAAAACGAAAATACGGGAAGTTATGAAAATAATGTTTTCTTTATCAAAAACTAAGCTAGGACAGAGAGATTCCAGTATCAAGTCACACCTATTGTGTTTTATGTGTAGTTATGTCAAGAACAGCAACCTGTGAACATGTCAACATACCATTTCCACACTGACATTTAACTTATCTTTTTAAATCCCAAATTAAATCAAATATTAATGACGTCTTAACGATCTTTTTAAAAAGTAGCTAAATGTAATCTTACCTCTTCAGTTGTTCTCCTATCAGGTAACACGAGTGTATTTGCATGACTTCCAGGCACTATAGTAGATCCTATGCTCATCCGGGGTCCAACCAACATGTATCGTTTATCTCCAGATCTGTACTGGATGCTGTGACACAGTGTCCCATCATAATTAGCCTCTTGGAGATATTTTGAAGCATAGTCTTTGGATTTGGAGCACTGCATTGCAATCAGCACGATGATGCTGATGATAAACAACACAGAAACTGCACCCAAAGTGATCATCAAGTAAAAAGTTACATCGTCACCCTCGTCATCCTTTGCTGCGCTTTTGACATCAGAAGCTGCAAAAGCTTCTTTTGGCTCCACAAGTTTAACAATCACAGTAGCTGTTGCTGAGAGGGAAACGTTGCCATTATCCTTCACCAGTATGACCAGCTTATGCTCAGCCTCGTCTGTCTCTGTAAATGAGCGAAGTGTTCTGATCTGTCCTGTGTAGCGGTCCAAACCAAACAGACTGTGGTCAGTAACTTCCTGCAGTGAAAACAGCAACCAGCCATTATATCCTATATCAGAGTCATAGGCTCTGACTTTAGTCACCAAGTGTCCTGCGTTCACATTACGTGGAATCTCATCCACACCTTCAGCAGAACCATTGGAGCTGAGTGGATACAGGATGACTGGAGCGTTGTCGTTCTGATCCAGAATGAACACGTTCACTGTGACGTTGCTGCTGAGTGACGGAATCCCAGAATCCTTTGCGACAACTTGGAACTGGAAAGTCTTCAGAGTTTCAAAGTCGAAACTTCTCAGCGACACTATGTTTCCAGTTTCAGAGTTAATGTTGAGAAAAGATGTAAATTTATTATCTTCGTGTACCTCTCTCAAAATATGATAAGAAATAATCGCGTTGTTACTTTCATCCCTGTCAAAAGCTTTGACAGAAAAGACCTTAGCTCCTACCTCGTTACCTTCAGGGATATAGAAAGTGTACGGGCTCCGCAAAAACTCTGGACGGTTGTCATTCACATCTGACACCTCAACGTTGATTGTCTTTACCGATGATAATGAAGGCTGACCCGAATCTTTTGCAGTTATTGTCAGCTCATAATGTGACGTGTTCTCTCTGTCCAAAGGGGATTTAGTTACAAGTGAAAACATATTATCTTGCATGGATGACAATAACGAAAATGGAGCATCCTCGCCGATTGAGCAGATCACTTTTCCATTTAAACCAGAGTCCAAGTCATTTACACTAATAAGAGCTACTGTTGTTCCTGGTCGAGAATCTTCAGGGATTGAACTGGAAAATGAAGTTATCTCAATCTGAGGTGCATTATCGTTTACGTCAATTATTTTGATTATCACGTTTTTTTCTACAGTTAACGGAGCTAAACCTTTATCAGATGCTTGAATTTCAATTTCATATTTTTCTTTTTGCTCGTAATCTAAAAGCCCCTTTACAGTTATCTGTCCTGTAGATTCGTTTATATCAAAAATATTGAATATATTGCTACCCACACTGTTTCCAAACGAAAAAACAACCTCTCCATTCTGACCGTCATCCAAATCAGTTGCATTTACCTGTACAACTGTGCTTCCCAATGGAGCATTTTCAGTAAGAGTAACGGAGTAAACATTCATTGAGAAGATTGGTGCATTATCATTTATATCCAAAACATTTACAATAATTTTCATATCCCCAGATTTTGGAGGTTTTCCCCCGTCTAACGCGGTCAGCAGTAAGGAGTGGCTTTTCGCTGCTTCTCTATCCAATGATTTTTTCAAAACCAATATTGGTATTTTCCCATCGTCTTCTTTATCTCTCACTTCTAATCGAAAGTGATCGTCTTGGCTAAGTTTATACTGCTGAATCGAAAACTGACCGCTGTCTAGATCCCGTGCAGGTTTAAGCTGAAACCGTGCTCCGGGCAACGCAGACTCTGAAATCTCCAGGATTTTTGCTGCTTCAGAGAAATTGGGCGAGTGGTCATTTATGTCCAGCACCTCCACCGCAATGTTGTGCACCTCAAGGGGCGTCTCTAACACAGTTTTAACATTTATTAGACACACGCTACTCTGTGCGCACACCTCTTCTCTATCAATCCTTCGGGTTACATAAAGGACGCCATCGCTTTCGTTTACGTAGAAAAGGGGATCCGAGCCTCCAGAAACAACACGATACTTTCTGCTCTTCAGAGTGCTTTTATCTAAACCCAAATCTTTGACTAAATTTCCAACCGCAGTCCCATCGTTAACTTCCTCAGAGATAGAATACCTCAGTTGGGCAGATGTTACACTCAGTAAAAGCATAGCAACCGCAAATCGGGTTATGCATCCTTTTCCCAGTCGCGCCTCGAATTTTCCTCGTTCCATTGTTAATCCAGAAAGCAGTGCAACTCACTCAAAATAAGTGATTTGGCTTCGCAGTGGTCGGTAAGACAATATCCATGTATTCTCACATGAAGCGTGAAGAAAAATCCACAAAAGGCAGCAGTAAGCTCGGGCACAACGACAGTGGTAACATCGAAATGATGAGGGCATTGGCAGACTGAAACAAAATCACTGAAAGAAAACGCGATGCTTTTTTGGTTCTGTTATACTGACATCATGCGGCCTCTATAATAACGCAGTTTTGTTTTCTTTTCCCACAATCTTTAAGCTCGCTAGTTCAAATATTAATTTTGTGTACACAACTTAAAGGAATGTGCATCTTTACGCCATTCTAGTTAATAAAATATACAACTTCTGAAGACATTCTGAAAAATTTTCACCAACGTATTTCTGAAAATTAATGATAATAAGGCAGCATATCTAATCTGCGGTGATATTAAAAGTGTTTTATGAATTTGAACGTCATTAAAATGATGATAGCAAATTACATTACCATTCTCTTTGACCAGTATGACCACTTTATGTGAATTTTTCTATTGCTTTTAATGCACCATACTCCCTCTTTCTCCTTTTCAAGCAGGACAGTTTTCATTCAGCACTACGGACAGCAGTAGATGCTATGTCAACAATCGGGCAAATGCTCAAAAACATTTCAGTTCAACTGATATTAATGCAAATTATATACTATCTTAAAACTAGCAAGAACAAGTGGAGCTGTTACAAAAGACAAAATTATGCGAGAATCTGAGTTTACATGTTGGTAAAAAAATAATAAAAGTTTTTAGTTTTTTTTGGCGGATTGTAGTGATTTCAAAAAGGGAAACTCAAAGAAAAAAATGGCAGAATAACTAAAGAAGAGAATAAAAAAGCACTAACTTGCAAATGTTATGTGCGTAATTGTGTTTGACAATATTTTATTTAAATATGATTCTTCTGTTAAATAATCCCATTTAAAACAAACATACCCAGAAAATGCACACTAACAAACCTTAAAAATTAAACAACGTAAAACCACTGCAATATATATGAGACTTTTTGATGTCAAATAACTAACAGGGATGACTATGGCCACTAAATCAGTCGATATCACAAGAGAGGTAGCAGTGAGAATCGAAATAAGCCAAAGTATTCAAGTGCATGGCTTACCTCTTCCAATGTTCTCCTCCTGTCAGGTAGCACTAGTGTGTCTGCATGACTTCCAGGTACTATGGTGGATCCAATACTCATTCTGGGTCCAACCAACATGTATCGTTTNCACCTGGAGTGTTATTCTCAGGAATATAAAATGTGTACGGATTTTTAGAGAATTCGGGGAAATTGTCATTTGCATCAGATACATCTACTATAATATTTATTTCTGAATGTAAGCTTGGTTCTCCTGCATCCTTAGCAACTATTAATACGTTGTATTGAAATGTCTGTTCTCTGTCTAGACCCGTTTTAGTTACTAGAGAATATATATTATTCTTTAAGGAAGGAGTTAAGAGGAAGGGAATATCTGGGTTTATGTAACACATAACTTTTCCGTTCAGACCAGAATCAGCATCTTTCACACTAATGAGCGCCACTGTTGTCCCTGGCTTTGAGTCTTCTGGGAGCGCTTGAGAAAATGACGTCACTTCAACCTCTGGTTCGTTGTCATTTAAATCGACAATATTGATTATCACACTTGTTTCTGTGTTCAGCGTTGCTGTGCCTTTATCGGATGCTTGAACATCAATTTCATATCTGCTACATTCTTCGAAATCTATGGTGCCTGAAACAACAATGACTCCAGTCTCGCGGTTTATATTAAAACGTTCACGTACCTGTGCATCCACGTCGTTTCCAAATGAATATTCAACCTGCCCATTTGAACCCTCATCTAAATCTGTTGCGCTAACTTGGATCACAGTCATCCCAACAGGGGAGTTTTCTTTTAATGACACAGTGTATGATTCCTGACTAAAAACTGGCGGATTGTCATTAGCGTCAGAAACATTAACAACTATTGTCATGTTACCAGATCGTGGAGGTTTACCTCCATCTAATGCTGTCAGAAGTAACACATGACTTTTAACTGATTCTCTGTCAAGAGGCTTTTCGAGAACTAAACTAGGTGTTTTGCGGTCTTCACCGCGATCTTTCACGTCTAATCGAAAATGTCTATTTTGACTCAACCTGTATTGCTGAACAGATAATAAACCACTATCAGCGTCCCGCGCAGCTTGCAACTGGAATTTTGCTCCTGGCAACGCAGATTCAGAAACATCCAAGATGTTTTCTTTTTGCTGGAATATGGGAGAATTGTCGTTAACATCCACAATCTCCACAATGACATGATTAATCTCCAGCGGGTTTTGAAGCACCAGCTTTAAGTCAATAAGGCAGTCCTTTCTTCGTTCGCAGATTTCCTCCCGGTCAATTTTTCCGTTCACGTACAAGACACCATCGTCTTGCTTGACTATAAAAGGAGGCTCTTTCGACCCGTAAACAATACGCATGCCCCTTTCCCTCCGCATGGTGTTATCAAGACCTAAATCCTTTCCAATGTTTCCAACAATTGTTCCTTCTGGAGCTTCTTCGAGGACAGAATACCGGAATTGCGCTGAAGAGCTGCTCCAAAACGACATCAAAACCATTATTATTGAAGTCCATTTTGTCTGCCCTCTCCGTGTTGATGATCGTCTTTGTTCCATGAGGAGAAAGAAAACAAATAATTGGAAAAATATACAACTCCCCGGAAGAAAAAAACTTTTCACATGTGCTAAAATTAAATTATTCCTACGCATTCGTTTTCAGAATGACACCATTCTGAAAGATATCTGCCAGATAAAAAGTGAAATTCATCAGCATTCACAATAACGACCTGGCTGCAATAACTGGATAGGAAAGAGATGGGTGTAGTCTAAACCATACAAGCACGCAGAGATATAGTTTGTTATTATACTGACACCAAGCGTCTTGGACGAAACCCTGCAGAATAGCAATCCAAACATCGAGATAAAAAATAAAAAAATACCTCAAGCAGGAAAATTGATACAAAAATAATGAAAGAAGCGTACCTTTTTTCCCCAACTCAAAGCTAGTTGACTTTAGGACACCTTCAGTAAGAGTTTCAAAAAGGTGAGAAATTCGGCATCAATTCCAACCTTTCAGAACCGATTTAGGTAACACTTTATTTGAAGGGGGTTGAATAAGACTGCCATGACATTTTCATAAACATGACATAACACATGTCATGAACATAAATAAGCCTTCATGAATATTTATGACTGTTGTCATAAAGCATCATTCGGTAAATTATGACACTTTTAATACAAAGTTGACATTATTCAAAATGTCTTTGTTATGACAACTTGAGATTAACCAAGAAATCATTACTGTTTAAACTTTACCTTTAATAACATAAAGTTACCTGATTTTTAAAGTGCAATCAGTAATACTTTTATAACAAATTTATATCAATAATGATTTATTGTTTAATGTCAAGTTGTCATGACAAAGACATTTTGAATAATGTCAACTTTGTATTAAAAGTGTCACAATTAACCGAATGACACTTTATGACTACAGTCATAAATATTCATGAAGGCTTTTTCATTTCATGACATGTGTTCTGTCTTGTGTATGACAGTGTCATGTCAGCCTTATTTGCCCCTTTCAAATAAAGTGTTACCCAGATGTATTTTATTTTAAGATAACTGATTAAAACACCATAACACTTTTTCATGTGACAGAAAGCACCAAGCCCCATCTGTATTCACAGAGGTGCAACTTTCAAATGAGGAAAAAAAAAAGTTGTTAAAAAAAAAAAATCAAATGAATCACAGAAACAATTTGACACACCAACAACCTCACTTAGAAGTTACTAATAAAATGTTTTATTATATATTATCAGCATTAATTAACCCTTTAGATTGCTTCATTTAAATCACTTAAAGTAAATGGTAAAATGCCAAGATGATAAAAAATGTTTAAAACTTCCTTAACCAGTGTCCATAGTCTTAAGAAATGGATTGTCGTTGCTAAACATATAGGAATAAGGACACTAAGGTAAAAATGACCAACATTTTAAAACTCTTAGTTTTGAAATGTTAGAAATCTTTTGAAATATTAGATACTCATTATTCTGCTGCAGAATAGTGAGTATCTGGCATCAGACATCTGTCTAGATGAACAGCGACCACAAAGAACCCAAATTATTTTGGTCTTTTGATCATGGAGCTTTAGTCCTGCACTGAAGGTAGTAAACCTCTGAAAATATATGTAACACACAGATGAATCAAACTTCAACCACGGCACCAATATCAAATGAATGCCATCAATAAGAATGTACACATTGGTGGAACTATTCAAATGTTCTCCTTTTGTCAGGAAACATTGGGGTATTTGCATGACTTCCAGGTACAATTGTAGATCCTATGCGCAAGCTAGTTATGTTCATCTTAGAAAATTTCAAAGCTAAATAGTTGATCTTACCTCTTCAGAAGTGCGTCTTCTGTCAGGTAGAACTAACGTGTTTGCATGACTTCCAGGTACTATAGTAGATCCTATGCTCATCCTGGGTCCAACTAACATGTAGCGTTTGTCTCCAGATCTGTACTGGATGCTGTGACACAGTGTCCCATCATAGTTAGTCTCTTGGAGATATTTAGAATTATAGTCTGGGGATTTGGAGCACTGCATTGCAATCAGCACTATGATACTGATGATAAATAGAACTGAAACTGCGCCCAAAGTGATCATCAGGTAAAAAGTCACATTATCCTCCTCATCGTCCTTTGCTTCACTTTTGACATCAGAAGCTGCAAAAGCCTCTTTTGGCTCCACAAGTTTAACAATCACAGTAGCTGTTGCTGAGAGTGAAACGTTGCCATTATCCTTCACCAGTATGACCAGTTTATGCTCAGCCTCGTCTGTCTCTGTGAATGAGCGAAGTGTTCTGATCTGTCCTGTGTAGCGGTCCAAACCAAACAGACTGTGGTCAGTAACTTCCTGCAGTGAAAACAGCAACCAGCCATTATATCCTATAGCAGCGTCATAGGCTCTGACTTTAGTCACCAAGTGTCCTGCGTTCACATTACGTGGAATCTCATCCACACCTTCAGCAGAACCATTGGAGCTGAGTGGATACAGGATGACTGGAGCGTTGTCGTTCTGATCCAGAATGAACGCGTTCACTATGACGTTGCTGCTGAGTGACGGAGTCCCAGAATCAGTGGCGACAACTTGGAACTGGAAAGTTTTCAGAGTTTCAAAGTCGAAACTTTTAAGCGCCACGATGTCTCCAGTTTCAGAATTGACATTTAGGAATGATGTCACAGTCTGTTCGTTACCTTGCGTTCTCATAAAGCTATATGCAATTTGAGAATTTTCTCCTTCATCACGGTCTACTGCTCGCACGGAAAGTACAGAGGCTCCTGGTGGGTTATTTTCTGAGATGTAAAACGCATAAGGGCTCTGCAAAAACTCGGGACTATTGTCATTTGCATCTAAAATATTTAGACGTATTGTCCTTTGTGATTTTAATGCAGGTGTACCTGCGTCCTTAGCTATTATAGTGAGATCATAAACAGATTTTTCTTCTCTGTCCAGCTCAGATTTGGTGACTACGGCAAACATGTTATCTTGAAATGATGGAGTTAATTTAAATGGCTCGTCATCAGCCACATAGCTTATTATTTTTCCATTGACACCAGAATCTAAATCTGTAATACTAATAAGTGCCACTGTTGTTCCTGGTCTGGAGTCTTCTGAAACTGCACTTGATAGAGAGGCAACTTCAATCACAGGAGGATTGTCGTTAACGTCTGTAATTTTAATAATAACACTTTTATACGTTTTGAATGGAACACTTCCTTTGTCAGAGGCCTGTATATCAATATCATAGCTGTCTTTTTCTTCGAAGTCCACGTGTCCTTTAACAGTGATCTCCCCTGTAACAGAGTCGATATTAAATAGCTCTTTAATTTTATCTTTAACGTCACTGCCAAATGAATAAACTACTTCCCCATTAGATCCTGCATCCATATCTGTTGCATTAACTTGGATCACTGTTGTACCCACTGGAGCGTTTTCCTGCAACGACGCCAAATATTTTTCTTTGGTGAATACAGGCATGTTGTCATTCACATCAATGACATCTATGTATATTTCAACTGTGCCTGTCTTTGGTGGAGTTCCTCCATCAATTGCTCTTAGCACAAATCTATGACTATTTTTGGCCTCTCTGTCCAGCTGCCTCTGTAACTGCAATATTGGTGTTTTACCATCTCTACCGCGATCTTTAATTTCTAGTCGAAAATGGTCATTCTGACTGACTGTGTACTGCTGGACAGCGTTTGTGCCACCATCCGGGTCATTGGCCATCTGTAGCTGGTACTGTGCTCCCGGTAAAGCAGATTCTGAGATCTCCAGCCGCTGTATTTTCTCGGGAAATTTGGGAGAGTGGTCGTTTAAATCTACTATCTCAACTGTTACGTAATGTATTTCAAGCGGATTTTCCAGAACTGTTTTGAGGTTGATCAAACATGCATTGTTATCTTTACATACTTGCTCTCGGTCTATTTGCTGTCTAGTATACATGATCCCGTCGTTCTCATTCACCGTAAAAAGAGGTTCAGTCAAGCCGGGCATAATTCGGAATCCCCTCCTTTTCATCACAGACACGTCTATTCCCAAATCCTTGGCTAAATTTCCAACAACACTTCCCTCTTTAAGCTCCTCTGATATCGTATATCTCAGCTGCGCCGAAGCGGAATATACAAATGAAAGCCAAATCCAAACGGCGAGCATTGTGTATCGGTGTTGCCATGAATCCCGTCCTCTTTGTTTCATATCGTCCGGTGTAAATAAAAATCCACTTGCGCCCATGATTCTCATGTTACCTAGGTTGTTGTCATCACCACACAAAACAAATTCGTCCCTAGGTGTAATGTATGAAACAAAACAATTAAACTGGTCCCCTTTCCGTTCTCCGGACACTTTCGCCAAAATGTCTGGCCCGAATGAAAGGAATAATTTCTGCATCCAAGGGAGGAAGCTGAGACGGTATCAGGCATTATATTGTTAATATACCGCCACCTTGTGAAAAGCACACGAAATTCTCAAGTGACTAAAGGATACACTGATGTAAAAGTATCATTTATCTTTAATAATTTCTGTTGCATAAATACCAAGCAGAAGCAACGGATGAATACTGTTTTGCATTAAGTTGAAATTAAATTTATACATATGTAAAAACAAACAAACAAAAAAATTTCAAATAAATTTGTGTTCGTAAATTCGTAAAAGAATTTATGGCAGGAAAATAAATTAAAAAAAAATCTGCATGTCTTTTCAAACTTGGAGTGTATAAATAAATATGTTCTTACCTCGTCAGATGTTCTCCTCCTGTCAGGTAGTACTAAAGTGTTTGCATGACTTCCAGGCACAATAGTAGATCCTATGCTCATCCTGGGTCCAACTAACATGTACCGTTTATCTCCAGATCTGTACTGGATGCTGTGACACAGTGTCCCATCATAATTAGTTTCTTGTAGATATTTAGAAGTATAGTCTGGGGACTTGGAGCACTGCATTGCAATCAGCACGATGATACTGATTATAAACAGAACTGAAACTGCGCCCAAAGTGATCATCAGGTAAAAAGTCACATCATTCCCCTCATCATCGTTGGCTGCACTTTTAACATCAGAAGCCGCAAAAGCCTCTTTTGGCTCCACAAGTTTAACAATCACAGTAGCTGTTGCTGAGAGTGAAACGTTGCCATTGTCCTTCACCAGTATGACCAGTTTATGCTCAGCCTCGTCTGTCTCTGTGAATGAGCGAAGTGTTCTGATCTG